GGGACAGGTAGGATCCGTAGGGGGGCAGTTAGGGTGGGGGGTTCTCAGCAGGGGGCAGTCAGGGGACAGGTAGGATCCGTAGGGGGGCAGTTAGGGTGGGGGGTTCTCAGCAGGGGGCAGTCAGGGGACAAGAAGCAGGGGGGTTGGGGTTCTGAGGGGGGCAGTCAGGGGGCTTCCCTCCCCCCCCCCCCAGTGTCCTCTTTTTTGATTGTGGAAATATGGTAACCCTAGCGTAGAGCCTCGGCCAGGCACGGTGGTGGCGGTGGCAGGGGCTGTGCTTCACGCCCGGGGAGCCGAGAAGGGGATCAGCTCCCCTGCCATGACGCACAGCCCCTGCTAGCGGCACCAGCCTCTTCCTGGTGGGGGGCTGAGGTGGACCTTAGCTCCCCTCCCCCCACTATGGGGCCCCACCCCCTGCTCCTCTCCCCCACCACCTGGCCAGCCAGAAGCCAGAGCCGGGCTGTGGTAAGAGCTACCCAGGGAACCCGGGCTGCTGTGGGGAGCCCCAGAGACTCCACCGGCCCTAGGGGAAGAGGAGTGTGGGAGGGGCCACAGTTCCTGCACTGGTATTCTCCCTCCCCCACCGGTCCCACGCTCCTGCTGCCCAGCACACGGATTCTCTTACAGGGCTAACTGCAGTGTCATGTGCTCACACCTTCCACAGCCGCATCTACAGAGCCGGGCAGCTCCGTCCAGGAGGCAGCACAGGGTGAATATAGAGCGGGTCACTTCTGTGACTGATCTCATGGGAGCAGGCACAATAGGCAGAGGCACAATTTTAGAAGTTCAGAGCCCCCAAAACACTAGCAGGCAGCAGCAGAGAGGCTGTCAGACCTGCTGGGCCCCAGACCAAGACACCTTGAGGATGAGGGACCCTCAGATCCAACAGCCTCTCTGAGCGCGTTTCCCTCCTCACCCATCTCGCGTATCAAAGCGTCGGATCCCCTGGAACGCAACCTGCAGCGTGTGACTACACTGAGGGGAATGTGGGAGCAGTGAGAGCATCTTCTAATAACCCCAGCAAGCAGCACCCAGACCCCTTGCTCAGCTGCTAAATCCTCCAAAGCCCCCCTGATAACCCCACTGATAACCCCACAGCCCCACACCTTGCTGCACATTAGAGTGAGGCTCACACTGAATGGAAATATCCTGTAATCGCACATCCCTTGCGCACCAACTGGCCGAGTTTAACGTCCCTGGGGAGCCTTCCCTTTGGAGATCCCTGACCCTGGGGGTTAAATTCTCAGCAACACCAGTGCAGGGATGAAAGCTTCTCCCCACAGCACCTCCCCACAGCTGAATAAAGCTCGTCCCAGCGATGCTGTAGCCCCTGACAGCCCTGCTGTAGGGACAACCGGAGGAGGGGCGGCAGGAAGATGAGGTCAGGCCAGTAACCTCAGACCACTGAGCTGCAGACAAGTTACGCTGCTCAGTGAAGATCGGACACTGGATCCGTGTCAGTCCATCCATCCAAACGGGTGTGAAGAGAGAGTCTCCGAGTGTAAAGGGAGCAGCAGAGGGGGCTGGAATCGGGAACAGAGCGACTGTCTTGTGTTCACTGCCCTGGACGACTGGGACTCTGGAGATCTGGATTCAATTCCAAGCTCTGGCAGACTCCCTGCCTGACCCAGGGCAAGTCCCTGAGGCCGGATCCACACAGGGACGGAGGCGTTTGAGGTTCAGCATCACAACGCCGAACTTTTACTCACCTAGGAAACCCCTGGAACAACAATGGGACCCACAGGCCTGAGCTGGGCGCCGGGTGCCCCACGCAGTGAATGGGGAGGGAGAGGGGCCCAAGAACGGGATCCACAACGGCCAGCGAGCTAGACGGGCTGCCCAGGCCAGCCAATAGGAGACAGTGGCCAGGCCTGTGCCCTAAGCCCCGCCCCTCTCAGAGCTCAGCACCTCAGCCCTGGCTGCAGGGAGGGGCCCAACCCTGCTAACAACCTGCAGCGGGGACCCCCCGCCCTGGAGTCAGGCACCTACGTCACGTCTTGAGACAGCGAGTGCAGCAGCCGGCGCCTAAATGCACTGAAAATGGCTGGGGGGGGAAGGTGGGGAGAGAAGACGACCTCCCTGATAACCTTTAACCCACTGGCAGGGCTTTAACCCCGATGTGAGACCCTGCTTCAGTCCCCCTCTCCCTGGTGAGCAGGGATTGGAGAACAGGGGGTCCCACCTCTCAGGTGGGCGTCCTACTCACTAGATCAGAGGGATTGTAACTCTCGGGCCCAATTAATAGTTAATTATTCAAAGTGGAACAACTTCAGCAGGAAATATTGAGGGACCACCCCCATCAGACTATCCCACAGCTCAGTGGCTGGGCACTCCCCTGAGAGGTGGGAGACCCCTGTTCAGATCCTGTCTCCCCTCAGACAGAGGGGACTGGAACTGGGGTCTCACATCCCAGGGGAGGGCCCTACCACTGGGGCAGGGTTAAAGCGTGCCTGCCAGACCCCACCCCACGGGTACGACAGGCCTCTGGGTGCCGAGAACCAAGCAGCAGCACACGCCCAGAGGCAGAACATGAAGCGCTGAGGGAACTTCTACAGCAAAGGTGTTGTCCCCAGGTGAGCTCGGGCACCCCCAGGGTTCAGTGGCAGCCAGGCAGGGGGTTGGCAGATCACAGGGTGCCTGAAACGGCGACTTCAGCCCTTGGGTGCCCTTTGTGGAACGAGGCCACAGTGCCTTGACTCCCCTCCCCAAAACAAGGACAAGGACACATCCCTGCCTCACAGCGGTTGTGAGGAGAAATCCACTGTGCTCTCATGTATGACAGTGATGTGGGGTAGAGGGGCCGTAAAAGCGCCTAGAGAGACTCCTGTCTGACCTGACTGCTAAAGCAGACAGGCCAGGGGAGAAAGGACGTGGAGCTGTTAGCCGTGAAGGAAGAAAGCTCCACATTCAGAGACTGAATCATCAGGGGTTGGGAACTTACCTCCCAAAGCTGCTGCTAAAGCAATGATGATGATCGTCATAACCACGATTATGGCTCTGAGGACAGTTGGATGATCCCATATTGCAGGTTTCCTGGAGCTGGAACTAGCTGGATGACCCGGAAGACAAAGACCTGTTAATGCTGCTGCGGTGACTCAGGCCAGAATTATTTGCCATCAGGCTCTGATCCGACACGCACCAGATATTTATTTTGACATCTTAAATGGTTCTGTCCCAGCTCTGGACACAAATATTAACTCGAACTCCCATCCAGACTGTGAAGGAGAACATCACTCCCCAAATCACCACTGTGTGGTTAATTAGCTCAATTAATCCCCAGAATGGACTCTGCAGAATTCAGAGGGATTCAGAGGAGGGTGGAGGATGATCAAGGGCCTGGAAAATACACAACAAGAGATTGACAAGCCTGGGATTGTTCACCATGGAGAGGAGGTGAATGAGAGGGGACAGGATAAACAGTCTATGCAATAACAGATGGGACAGAAGGCAGACTGGGAGCTTTTGGTGATAAAGGTGTGGGCAGTCCCTGCACGCCCCCTTGTGGCCTGGTGTGGCACTGTGGGTGCACCCCTCCTTAATTTCCCTTGATTGGCAGCAGTACATTTGCTTTAACAGCCCAAGGCAAGGAGAAGCCGACACTCATTAACAAAACTGCACGTCCCTTTTTAATAAGGCTTCAGGACAGGAGCAATTTCAGCAAACAGTTCATACGGTGCTCACCTCAGGACCCTGGGTCAGGGATCCCAAGTTAACATACATAAAACCAAGTCTCAGGCGGATTAGATTGGTCTTCTAGAGCCTGTGAGAAACCACCACCTGCTGCAGCCTGCCTGGTTTCTCTATTCCTCTCTCTCTCCTTCAGCTCCCTCTTCAAATAGCCCAGGCCTATGGGGGAGTGGGGCTGCCTTGATTACACCTGTGCCAGATGTAGCCTCTTGCCTATCCCTTAAAGGGGTAGTTATCCCCTTCCCATTGTTCCCCTTGTCTCATAACACAAAAGCAAGGGGATATTCAATGAGATTAAAAAGGTGGGAAAAGAACTATTTTTTCCAGCCAATGTATAAGTAGACTGTGGAACTCACTGCCACAGGAAATTGATAAAAAGAATTTAGGAAAGTTAAAGGGATTGAGCATTTATATGGTTAACATGAATATCCAGAGTTGTCATAATTAACAACCAAAGGTTGGCAGGAACTTTGGAAGAGCATCTCCATCCCAGGGCGAGTAAATCCAGGGAACTCCTGCTGAAATTCAATCTTCGCAAATCCTCTTCCTTAGCACCTAGAGAGACATCAGAGGGCATGTAGTGGGGTAGTCACCCACTCTAGCCGTAAAGGGCTTAAAACAGCCCAGGGGAGGGCGGTGGATGGGGTAAGCACCTCCAAGGCTGATTGGGGAAGCAGGCTCAGCTGTGACCACGCCCCGATCAGGGCTCAGCTGGCCCTTATAAGAGGGCAGTGGGGCAAGAGCAGTGAGTCTCTTGCTGCCTCTAGAGAGGGAATGGCCTGGCTGCTTAGGAGCTCACAGGGTATCTAGCGTGGAGCAGGGCTGGGGGAAGGCCAGAGGAGCTGGGGAGCTCCAACCTACAACCCCCCCCCCGGCTGCAGGCCTTGTTAAAGGCCCAGAGGGGTACTGGGGTTGCAGGGGCAGCCCAGGGGTAGGCCAAGGCAGCAAGTACAAATCCCCCTTGCCTGTGATGAGTGGCTTATACACTGCAGTCTGCCCCAGTGAATGGGGGCTAGACAATGACTGGCAGTAGCCTGGTACTGAGGTGTGGTGAGGATAGTGGGTGGTGTTCCTCAGTGTGGAGAGACCCAGAAACTGGGGGGATATTGCCAGGGGACAGCCCCCAAGAGAAAGGGGCACCGGGGTCCAGAAGGGACACGAGGCCCAGTGCCAAGTGGGACACTGGCCTGCAGAGAGTTCTCCAGAGGCCAGTGAGCTAGTTTCCAGGATAGCCAGAAGGAGGTGAGCATCACCCCATTACAGGGCATGATAAATTCACTGGCAAAACACAAATGAATGTGCTGTGGCCACAGGCAGCTACACCTGCTCCTGGCCATGCACGAAGGCAGGGCTCTGCATGGGTTATGAGTGCAAACACCTCAACTCACACACTGGAAGGACAACCAACCAGAAGGAAAGAGCAGTGACAGGAGCAACCCAGGGAGACGTGAGCCAAATGTTTTCAAAGGGATAGAACATGTGCAGTCCTAAAAACCATATGTGCAACTGCCACATGAGAGAGCATGTGCAGCACGAGCTGAGTCCATTGGAGCAATACCGCCTCTGCTGCATAGGGAAGGGATGGGGGGGAGGAGAAGGAGGAGGAGCTACACCCACCCCTGAAAGGCATCTCCTCTCTCCAGCCTGTTCCTAGGCAGGGAACCTCCAGTTACCTGGTTCTCCCCCACTCTTCGAGTCTCTGGAGCTGTTAGGCTGTCCAGGGCGATCTGCTTTCGTTCCCTCCGGCATCTCTCCTTGCAGTGAGGCAGCCATGGGTGCTGGGCTCTGATCAACTTGGAGCCAGCTGCAAGAAATGGCTCTACGCAGTCACGGCAGAGTCAGTTCCAGTCCCAGCTGCCCTAGAATGTGAAATGACAGAGTCAGGACAGTAGAGGGGTCGGTGGGTTTGTCTGTGGTGTCCCATCCTCCATTCATCAGAACAAAAGCCCAGAGTTTGAATAGTGCAGTAACCAACCCCCTCCTGTGTCATCAGGCCCCTCATTGAAGATTCCCCATTTCCTCTCACTCCTCAATTGGGAGTTGGGCAGGAGAGGGACACACGGACGCTGGGTGTGGGGTGCAGGCTGGGATGTGCACACGCCGTTTATGTCTGGTGTGAGGGGCACACAATGCAGAGCTGTGTGTAGTGCCTCCCCCTGCACTGGCAACTCTGGGAATTTGGGAGGGGGAGGGTGAGTTTGAGATGCAACTTTGGGAGGGGCACAGACACAGCACCTTGGAAGGACTCTAAGGGACACAGTCTCCCGCACCCCCAGGTTGGATAAAAATCAGTGGTTTAAAATTTGATTTTTTATTTAAATAAATACTTTTTTAAAAGAAACCAATGGAAAGTTAAACTTGAAATAATGATAATCTATGTTAAGGCCTAAACGTACTATAATCCATTAAAATCATTTACGTTAAATGAAAAGGAATAATATTCCAGCAGAACATGTTTGCTGATGACGTCTTGAAGAAAGTGAAGCCACTGAAGTGATGCCAGTCACTGGCTAAGCACCGGTGACAGAGGTTGTTAAATCAGCTTTGCACAGCAGTAGCCTCTTGCGCAGGGGCAGAGACTATTCTCTTCATTTCAGTTTATTCAAAGTTAAGAAACCGACTGGGAGCTGAAAAAGCAGCAAAGCTTGTTTTGCTTGTCCAATCTATGGATGAAAACTAGGTGCGAGAAGCTGAGCTGTATAGACACGGTTCTCAACCTGCGGCCCAATCAGCACACAGCTGCGGCCCATGTGACACCTCAGGGTCATACAGGTAGTACTGGATGTGGCCCACAATGGTACATAGGTTGAGAACCACTGCTCGAAAGTCTTAATGAACATGGAGTGGGAGCACAAAGGACTCAAGCATTGCCTCACAGCTCCTAGCTTTTAGGCGGCGAGAAAATCCAAGAAACACCATTGTGATCCACAAAGCTGATTTAGGCACATGGGCTCCTATACAATGAATGGGGAGCCACCTAAGCCAATCAAAGGGAGATGTTGACCAGTGGGGTGTGGCCTAAACCCAGCTCCTCTCTCAGCGATAGGCACCTAAACCACAGGGAGGCTATTGACCACAAAAGGCAGAGAAAGAGATGCCACCTTATAACGTTTAGTCCAGTGGTTAGGTCACCACCTGGGACGTCAGACGACTCACACAAGGCTGCAGTGCATGTCCTCAAAGGCTAAAACAGACACTGAGAGAACTTTTACTCTCATAAACTTAGGTGCCAAGGGAGTTTAGGGGCCTATCGGGTACGTTAGAAGTTTTGTGGATTGCAGCGGAGCTGAAACTGGGATTTAGGCATTTTAGTAATTTGGCTGATCCCACCCATGGTGACTAAAAACAATCAGTTCAATTCACTAACCACAGGTAATTATTACACCTCTACCCCGATATAACACTGTCCTCAGGAGCCAAAAAATCCTACCGTGTTATAAGTGAAACCGCGTTATATCGAACTTGCTTTGATCCGCCGCAGTGCGCAGTCCCTCCCCCCCCTGGAGTGCTGCTTTACCGCCTTATAGCCGAATTCGTGTTCTATCGGGTCGCGTTATATCAGGATAGAGGTGTACCTTTTTATTAATTTATATTATCATAGCAGCTAGGATCCCTGGTCATGGCCAGGATACATGATTTTAAGTAATCAGTTTTAAACACAAAGCATGTTTTGATAACCTTTTTTCCCCTGATGTATCCAGCATATTTAAGGTATTTTTATTTAAAAATTTTAAATGCTGAATTTTCAAATGTAATTGAATTCTGATTTCCATCCAAATAAAGCTTGACCAAAAAAAAAATCACAAGAATTAGATGAAAATCTGAATACTTGTACATGTCGCTATATTATGTAAGCAATTAATGTGTATAGATATAGTCATAGAATCATAGAATATCAGGGTTGGAAGGGACCTCAGGAGGTCATCTAGTCCAACCCCCTGCTCAAAGCAGGACCAATCCCCAACTAAATCATCCCAGCCAGGGCTTTGTCAAGCCTGACCTTAAAAACCTCTAAGGCCTGGTCTACACTAGGAGGTTATGTCGAATTTAGCAGCGTTAAATCGAATTAACCCTGCACCCATCCACACAACGAATCTATTTAGTTCGACAGAGAGGTCTCTTAAATTCGATTTCTGTACTCCTCCCCGATGAGGGGAGTAGCGCTAAATTTGACATGGCCATGTCGAATTAGGGTAGGTGTGGATGGAATTCGACGCTAATAGCTCTGGGAGTTATCCCACAGTTCACCACTCTGTTGACGCTCTGGACAGCAGTCCGAGCTTGGATGCTCTGACCAGTCACACAGGAA